TTTCTGAAGAAGGGTCTAGGCCCGAAACATCAGCCTTCCTGCTCCTCTGATGCTGCTTGGCCTGCTGTGTTCATCCAGCTCTACACCTTGTTATCTCAGATTCTCCAGCATCTGCAGTTCCTACTATCTCTGAATCAATATCGAGTTCAATCATTTAGGGCCTGAACTCTCCGATGTCCTAGCCCCTACCCCACACCCCACACACTAGGCCTTGTTATCACATAGCCTGCTATTACACACTCGTTGTTATTGGCCACTAATAGTCTCCAGTAACAGCTATTCACCCTCCTAGCCAGATCGTTATCCACTCCTTTATCTGTCCAACTGTTGTTATCTCTCTTTGGGCTCTATCCCCACCTATCATTTACTCATTAGCCTCTCCCCCCACCCTATCTTCTGCATATAAACTGATATTTTCCTAGCTACCATCAGTTCTGAGGAAGAGTAACTGGACCAGAAACATTAACTCTGGTTTCTGTTCACAGCTGCTGCCAGGCCTGCTGAGCTTTTCCAGCAATTACTGTTTTTGTTTCTGATTTATAGCATCCACAGTTCTTTCGGTCTCAATTAGTGGTTGTTTGACTTCTACTGTCTATATTTTTCCAAGTGCTTGGTGGTTTGCAGAGTCGTTCAAAAGTGATGAAATTGGCTGAGTGTGGTGCTCCACATGGAGAAGACTTTGGTTTCTAAAACGTTGTGGATGTTGTAGCAGCCATACTCTTGTTACCTGTAAAATGAAAGAGAGATGGAGCTGAGACAATAGAGAAAGGACAAGTTCCTTGCAGAGGAGGAGGAATCTCAGCAGGAGGCCTGAGACATTCAGGGTCTTTCTGTAGCATTTCTTTTACCGTGACCAAACCAGTAGGATTATGTGTTTACAGAATTCTAACATCGCTTGTGGCAAACCTGCAACTGCAGAGTGGACTATGTTTGGTGCTGCCAGTAGATGTGAAGATAACCTTAGCCTGACTTTCTTTACGTTAGTATCCTTCATGGCTGGAATGGGCAACATTTGAAACATCCAAATAAAAGCAAAATACTGTGTACGCTGAAAATCTGAAATAAAAACAGAAAGTGCTGGAGAAACTCATTAGGTCTGGGAGCATCTGTTGAGAGAGAAACAGAGTTACCATCTTGAGTCTGATGTGACTTCTTCAGTTCAGTTTTTATTTATTAATATTGTGTAGTAAAAATGTAATAATTGAAATGACTTTCAACAAATTTAGCAAACATTAATGCCCATTCAATGAAAGGGGGTACGAGGCTCATTTAGACTAAATTCTTGATCTGGCGCGTGTGATAAGGAGAAAGGTTTAAATTTATATAGTACTTGTCACAACCTCTCAGATGATTAAGCAGATACTGAGAGCAGTGCTGTAGTTACAATTCTTGTCAAGATTGCTAATGCTTTGTAAAAAGAAAGAAAACCTTAAATGCCAATAGAAAGATAATCATCACTTGATATAATTTTACTTCCTATATCTTTAACTGTAACATACCAACTAAATGCTACATAACACAAGCGTCAATTAGCAGCTGAAGGATAGTCTCCAGCATGCAATCACACAGTTTTGTCAAATCAGCCCTTTTTTTTATGTCTTTCACTTTACATCCAATTGCATTGGCTCTTGAGCTGCATTCACCAGCAGTTAATTTCAAATTGAAATCCACAGACACAGTTGCCTTTGAAAGTCTTCAAACTTTCTTTCACTTGGGTCATGACAATTCTGATAGTGCAGAGTCTCCAGAGATTCCCTTCACTGACCTCTTTCATCAGTCTGGTAGACTCTGGCATCACCTCAATGCAGCAAAATCTCTTGTCCAATCTGCAGTCTGTCACTCTTCCAGTCTTTAGTTCAGTTCTTTCTAATTGTATACCACACTGCAATACAGTCTTAGCTCCATTCTTAGAAAATGGCTTCAACTCCATGATTTGTTTGAAGATTGCCAAACAGGAAACTTCAATTAAGAACAAGATTTTTTTTTAACTTGAATTTCTGTTGAACTGCCAATCAGAAGGCAAAAATGTTGAAACCCAACCCCACTTCATTTAACTTTCCATTCATCCTTTGCTTCTTAGCTGTTCATTCCCTTTACAACCCCAAGTCACAATGCATTTCCTGGAAGCTTAGTAACAACTGAATCTGGAAACTGTTTAACCATGTTTCAAAATAGTCACCAACATTTTGTCCTTAAAGAAACTTTGCTTGAAAAAACTACCTATTGCTTCCTAAAGTGCATGTTCTGAGTAGAGGTCACTGGACCCGAAATGTTAACTCTGATTTTTCTTCGTAGATGCTACCAGACCTGCTGAGCTTTTCCAGCAACTTCTGTTTTTGTTCAGGGTACAATAATACATGTTTTTCTCCCCTGTACCATGTTGACAGAACTTACATGTTTGAATTCATTTTATAATTTGAGTTGATTTGGTTTTTAAATTAAAATGCACAGAAGTAAATCAAAAAAAGCAAATTGTTAATATTCCTTCCACATTGTATGGGTCTACATTCATCTAGAAGATTCGTTTTTTTACCCACAATCTATAGTGCCTGGCTCTCCTCCGCAATCAGTTAAAACAAAAGAGTTATCCTCTACCACTGTACTTCTGTCATGGAAACCTCCCATGGAACCAAATGGAGTGATTCTGTATTACACAGTCTATGTTTGGTAAGAGTTACTAAAATAGTTATTAAGTTTAAAAATAACATTTAATGTATGCAAAATTGTATGCCTAGTATTATAAACATTTTACTGTTAAGATAAAAATATAATGAATGTTATCAAAATATTTGAATTTTTTGGAATGAATATTAACCCTTGGTTTCTTCCCATGTAAAAGATATAGTGATACACACTCTATTTGTTAGATCAGGTAGTCTGAGTGTGGACTAATTTACCTATGTTTTCAATGTTGTAACATGATAAATAATCTGCAGAGTGTTTCGTGCAGCACTGTTTAGATCGTATACATTTCCCTAAAACAGAATGTTCTGATGTCACAGGGAAGATTACCTTGTAGTTTTAATTGAGCACTCACTTCATTGATCAAAGCAAGTTAAGAGTCATTCGACTAAAGTTCAACCTCCTGGTTGAGAATCTGTTTGAACCATGGCTCCAAGTTTACCTCAGAAATATACTGACATATTCCTGCTTGGGCACATGCTCCTCTGCATTCTTTCACATACCTGTACTGTGACCAGAAGAATTCAACAATTCTGAATTAGGCTGAGTACTGAAAGTATTTCTTCATGAATCATTAAATCAGTTCTGAGTGGGTGGGCGAGACAGTATATTGCTACATTAAAGTAGCAAAATGAAAGAAGGAAAGTAACAGGGAAAAATGAAGTGAAAATGTAAAGTGACTGAAATGAGTAACAGTAATTCAGCAAGTAATTTAGTGCATTGACCTGTTCTGTGTTTCACACATGATGCTAACAAAATCTAGTTGTCAGAGATCAGCAGTCGGACAATTGTAGGAACCAACTAATTTCACCCCTGCGATTGAAATTTGTTTCAGATCTGTTCTGAATAAGGCATCCTGATTTTTTTTCCTAAACATATACACACAGCACTAAATACAAGGCAACTGTAAAAGCAGAGATAGTAAGAACTGCCGATGCTGGAGTCAGAGATAACACGGTGTGGAGCTGGAGGAACACAGCAGGTCAGGCAGCATAAGAGGAGCAGGAAAGCTGACGTTTCGGGTCGGGACCTTTCTTCAGAAATTTATAACTGTAAAAGCAACTTGAATAAATGCTTTGTAAAGAAACAGGAATAACAAGAGGTAACAAATAGCAAGACATTGGCTGTCATTACATATCCTCACTGATGTGTGTATTTTCAGTGGGGGAACATGTAAAATAGTGAGGGTGCCGAGCCCACTACCTTCCCATGCAGTCCTAAGCTCATTCCCATAATATGCAGTCTGCTGTCTATATGTAAGTAAATAATTATGAGTCAACTGAACTTGTTAAAATTGACTTCATGTTACATGTCCATATCATAACACAATTGGCATGGGTAGGCAGACAGGAGTAGACAGCCTTATTTTTGCAAATGTTTAAAGGTATGGAAAGAAGGAATGTACTATCTTCAAGGGTTCCCTTTGCACATCAGAAACATAGCCTGGAAGATAATTAAATCTGTAAAATTGCTTTCAAATAAATTGTGTGAGTAGGACAGAGGACAATATATTTCAGTGGGTGAGACTAAATTTAGGACTGTTATAAATAAGTTGTCTTCAAACAAAGAGTGACCACGCTTAGAATGGACTTATGAATAGATGTCTGAAACGGGAATCAACAGAATTATTTAAGAAACAATTGGATTCTGTAGTGAAGGGATGCCTTCTGTATGAACAAATTAAGAATAGTTTGATGACCAGTAATTGTGTGGTAATGTTGTAGAAATAACATATTCCTATTACAGGAGCACAACAACACAACTCGTTTTAAACAAAACTGAAACATCTGTACTGCTGAAAAACCTGGACAATAATACTGAATACTATGCTTTTGTAACAGCAAGTACAAGGCTAGGTGATGGAGGAATGAAAAGTAATAATGTCACATTTCGAACATCTGAGAATTGTAAGTATCTGTGCTGACTTATGAAACTTATAACTAATTAGTTTTAAAATATTGACATCATTGATGAGTAATTATTGTAGAGAATTATTAAAGAATACAATTGGAATGCAATGTGGATATTTGGTGGCAAGGCCAGCAGTTATTGCCCATATCAAGAAGTTGCTGCATTGAACTGTGGAAGTTCACGTGCTGATGGTACTCCCTGATTACTGCTATGGAGAGTGTTCCTAGATTTTAACCCAACAATGATACAGAAACAATAGTTCAATTTCTGAGGAAGTGTCATCGAACCCAAAACGTTAACTCTGATTTCTCTCCACAAATGGTGCCAGACCTCCTTTCCCAGCAATTTCTGTTTTTGTTTTTCATTTACAACATCTGCAGGTGTTTCAGTTTTTATGAAGAAACAACATTTGTACTGTGTTGCATGGTTAGAAGTGGGGTGTTACTGTGTTAGTGCAGTCCTTCTAAGTAATGGAGATCACCACTTTGGGAAATGTTGTCAAGAAACCTTGCAAAGTTGCTGCAGTATGTCTTGCAGACTGCGCAATGCTGGTGATAGAGGGAGTGAATGTTTAGGATGGAGAGTGGAGTACCAAACAATCAGGCTGCTTTGTCATGGATGGTGTTGAGATTCCTAAAGAAAGACTTGCATTTAGTACAGCTGGACTCTGAAAGCACATATTTTAAGTGTTAGGTAAGATAATTAGCTACAGTCCACAAAAAAACCATGAGCGTCTCTTTCCAATAAAGAGACAGAATTAGTTACATATAACTTAAGTGGACCGCCTTGCATGGTGGGACAAGGTGTGGACATAGGACATGAACTACCAAAGAAAGGGTTTATACTGTGCCGTTGGCATCATTCTGCATTACACTTGAACCTTCTAGCCCATTGTATTTTTTTGTTATTCATTCACAGGACGAGGTCATCACTAGCTAGGCCAGCATTTATTGCCCATCCCAAAGGGCAATTATGGGCCAACCACATTGCTGTGATGGGTCTGGAGTCACATGTAGTCCAGACCAGCTAAGGATGGCAGTTTCCTTTCCTAAAAGACATTAGTTATCCAGAAGGGGTTTTTTTCAACAATCAACAACGGTTTTATTGACATCATCACGTTCTTAATTCCAGATTTAAAAAAATAAAGTGAAATTCCACCATCTGCCATGGCAGGATTCAAATCCAGATCCCCAGAACATTACCTGCATCTCTGGTTTAACGGTCCAGTGATAATACCACTAGGTCATCACCTCCCCTTGTCCCTGTGATCTTGTAGACTAACGAATGAGGCATCTGACATGAATATGAATCATGATGTAATTAGAAGATCACAGTTTGGGGCCTCCGGCCACTATTGATATGTCGTAACTGCTGCAGTGTAAGAAATACAGCAATTTGTACAAAACAATGTCTTACAATTGTGATAATGCCCAAATAACGTGTTTTGGGATGTTGTTTAAAGAAGAAATATTGCAAAGATGCAAGGAACAATTCCATTGCTGTTCCTTATCTGCCTGAAAGTGTAAGTAGAAGAGCTTTCATACATCCACCTGAGATAGCGGACAGAGCTTTTTGGCTTAACATCTTATCCAAAAGATGGCATTCGAACAGACATTCCGTCAGGACCACACAGTCAGTCTAGATTTTTATTTTGAAACCTCTCAAGTGGGAGTTGAACCCAATATCTTTTGACTCAGAGGCACAAGTGCTACAAACTGAACCATGATTAACACTGCATATAGAATTGGAGCTGCACTTGTTCAGAAAAATACGGGGTATTCCATCTGGCTCGTGCTGTGGAGATAATGGAAAGACTTTGGGGATTGAGAAAGTTCAGTCGCTCACCATAGAAAGCCCATAGTTCTCCCAGCCAACAGGACTAGTGTGACGTATCCCATTAATTTTCTGGTCAGTGGAGATCCTTTCAAGGTGTTCATAGTGTTGAATTCAAAAATAGTAATGCCTTGGAATGAAAGCAAGATGTGTTTATGCTTTCTTTTGTTGGCGATGATCATTGCCTGACATTAGAGTGATTATAGGTTTGTTATAATTTATTAGCCCAAACTTGCAACATTGTACGTCTTGCTGCATGTGAACATGCTGCATGGACAGCTTCATTATCTGAGGAGTTGTCAATGGAACTGTATACTCTGTAATCATTAGCAAATGTCTCCACACTTCTGAATGTATGATGAAGGGAAGGTCATGGATGGAGCAGCTAAGATAGTTGGACCTAGGACATGAACTTGGCAAATTGCTGCAATGCTGTCTTGCAGCTGAGGTGCTGGACCTGTGACAGCTGCAATAATCTTCCTTACTGTGGTATGGCCAATAGTAGGCTTTTCTACAATTCCCATTTAATTAAATTTTACTGGAACTACAGTCACCACACTTAGTCAAATGCCGGCACGCTGTCAAGGCCAAATCTCACCTCTCTTCAGGAATTGAATTCTTTTATCCAAAGCTGCAATGAAGTCTGAAGTCATGTGGCCCTTGTTTGGAACCCAAACTGAGTGCCAGTGAGTGGGTTATTCATTAGCTTTTTGGTATATTTCATTACTTTGCTATTGACTGAGTGTAGACTGATGGTGCAAAATTGACCCAATTGCAACAAAAACAGAAATTTGCTGGACAAACTCAGCAGATCTGACAGTATCAGTGGGAAGAAAACAGAGTTAATGTTTTGAGTTCAGTGACTCTTCATCAGAACAGATGCAGTTGTTCTGCTTTTGTGGACAGCACATACTTGGCAATTTTCCACTTTGTTGAGTGGATGCCAGAATGATAGTGCACAGGAGAATGTTCAGTCCATCCTGTCAATGGCAATTTGAAAGACCTATCCAGTTAATAATACTAACTTGCCCTTTTTATGACACCTGCACATATTTTTCCTTTCAAAAGTTCATTGTGTTTGAAAGCTACCATTATACTTACTGCTAACACCTTTCAGAGAGTGCAATGCATTGCGTAAATATCTGCCCTCATGTCATCTCTGTTGTTTTCTTGCTGATCCTTCTGCCAAAATATGCGATTATTCCTTATTTACATAGTATTCACAGAAGAGGTGGCCATTTGGTGCAACAATCTCTTCTCTCGTAGTCTATCATGATTTAAATACCTCTATCAAACCCTACTTAATCTCCACTACTCAAGGTGAACAAAGCAGATTCTTCAGTTTCTCCACATAACGGATCACACGGTAATATTCTTGTAAACCTCTTCTCCAACCCTTCCAAAGCCTTGAGATCTTGGCTGAAGTGTGGTTCCTAGAAATAGCCACAATACTCTATCTGGGTATTTTATATAAATCTAGCATCTTTGTGAAAGGAAACCATTTAATTAATGCATCCATATTTTCCTGCAGCAAGGATCCCTGAAGGCATTATCTCCTATGTCAACAAAAGTTCCACTTCTGTTCAAGTATTTTGGAACCTTTCGTCCAAACCAACTGGATATGTTCAATATTACACAATTCACTACAGGAATACGTCTGCTGTTTTTACTCAGGTGCAATATTTTCTGACTTCATGTGCAGTAATATTTATATTGAGCAGTAACTGACAACAAAAAGAGATTTGTGGGTTCAAAGTTACAATAGGCTGGAAATTACTGTTGACAAGTAAATGGACATGCAATTTGATAAGACGTGCATTTGTCTTTTAGCAGGGCATTAACCCATTTAAATAAATGGGTTATATAATTACTCAAGGACAGGCAATAAGTATCTGACATTCATTTGTGAGTGTAGAACATTATAATTTATAGCTTTATGAAACATGCTGATGTTTTGTTATATTGCTTTCTTACAAAAATTCAAAATTAAATTGTAGTAACTGCATGTTTCAAAAGTGAACTTAATTGAATATCTGTAAATAACTGGGATCAAATCAGAGCATTGAATTTGTTGAAAGAAAACTGCAATTTAATTGTTTAATTGCACATGCTGTACAATAAAGTACACCTGTAACAAGTTGTTCGCTATTACTTTTCAGAATATAACAGATATTGATCAAACAAGTGTTGGTGAAAATGCAAATGTGACAATACTTTTGATTAATTTGGCAAAATTCAGCCATTATGAAATATGGATGACTGCCTCCAATATGCTGGCAGATGAAATTCAGACAAGTGAATTGATCCATGTGTACACTGATGAAGATGGTAAGTTAGAGTCAATGCAGAACTATTATGTTAAAGTTAAAAATATTAATCAAGAATTAGTGACAAGTATTATTTAGCTTATCATAGACTATCAATTAATATATCATCAAAGAGTGATCAGCTAGTTTGTGGATAACAGCATTGCACTGTGCAGCAGAATGGTTTTGTTAAGAAATACACACTTAATTATTGCAAGCAACATCTCGGCAAACTTTGATTTTAGTAATTCCTTTTACATTTAATTGTGGCAGCTGAGCAAAGCCAACATTTTTTGACCATTCCTAACTGAACTGGAGAAATCTGCTTTCTTTAATTTCTACGTTTCATGTGGTTAAATTACACTACACTACGGTTTTTGGAAGTGAGTTCCAAGATATTGACCCATCAGTAAAGGAATGGCAATACATTCTCAAGTCATGATGGTGCATGACTTGGAGATGGTGGAGTTCCCAAGCTGCCCTTGGTTCTTCTAGGCTGTAGACTTCACAGGTTTACAATGTGCTGTTTAAAGAACCCTGACAAGTTGCTGCAGTGCATCTTTTAGATGGTATACACAGCCAACATAATGTGTTGGTGCTGAAGGGAGTAAATGCTTAAGATGGCAGATAGGTTGCTGCCCAAGTGGAATGTTTGGTTCTGAATTATGAGGAGAGTTTGAGTGGCATTCATCCAGGCAAGTGGGGAAGAATTCCGTCACCTTCCTGACTTGTGCCATATGGATAGTTTTAGACAGGAGATTAATTACTCGCTGGAAAATTATGTGGCTTGTCAAGTCGATGGGAATCCCCAGGATGTTGATATTGGAGGACTCAGTAATAATAATTCAATTGAAAACCATGCAGGACTCTTGTATGATATAATGTTACTTGCTACTTATCAGCCTAAGCTAAAATATTGACCAGATCTTATTGCATGTGGGTACAATATCTGAGGAGTTGAAAAATGTTCAATCACCAGCAAACATCCCCATTTCTGACCTTATGTTGGAAAGAAGGCATTAATGAATCAGATTAGAATGGTTGGACACTACCCTAAGCAACTCTGGGGCTCAGATAATTGGCCTTCAAGAACAAATGTCTTCCTTTTGTGCTAGCTCTGACTCAAACCAGTGAGTAGTTTTCCTTGAATCAGAGATAGTAGGAACTGCAGATGCTGGAGAATCCGAGACATCAAGGCGCAGGGCTGGATGAACACAGCAGGCCAAGCAGCATCATAGGAGCAGAGAGGCTGACATTTCGGGCCTAGACCCTTCATCAGAAAAGTTTTCCTGATTGCCACTGATGTCAATTTTGCCAGGATCCTTGATGCCACACACCATGAAATGCTGTCTGAGTGTTGTGGGTTTTCACTCATATCTCCTCTGGAATTCAGCTCATTTGTCCATGTTTGGATCAAAGCGGAAGTGAGATTTGGAGTTGAGTGTGACTCTGACGGAACCGAAGATGAGCATTGATGAACAGATTGCTGAGTAAATGCTGCTCAATCCTTGATACCTTCCTTCACTTTTCTGATTCTTAAAAGTAGACTGTTGGGCAGTAATTGGCCAGATTAGATTTGTTCTGTTTTTTGTGGATAAGGTGAAGCTGAGTAATTTTCTACCTTATCTGATAAATGCCAGTGTTTTGGTTGTATTTGGAGCAACTTGGTTAGGGCCACAACTAATTCCAGAGCATAAATTTTCACCTATATTCAGGATGTTTTCAGGCCCCACAGACTTCAATATGTTAAGCTTGAACAACTTCATATTTTTCCACATTATACTCCATTTGGCACCTTTTTGACCACCTACTTCACCTATCAATATCCCTCTGTAAACTGTTTGTAGCCCCTTCGCAACTTGCCTTTCCGCCTATTTTTTTTTGCTCGATGTACCCTGACATTGCCCTTTGATAATGCCTATTATGGTTCAGTATGTTCTCCTCCCATTACACTGTGTAGGCCATGGTGGTCACCGCCAGCATTTGTTCCCCCTCCTGTGGCATTCCCTTACCTCCTTGCCATTGACCCTCCTTATAACGTGACTCTTTACCCCCCACCCCTGTCACCATCCTTATTCCCACCTTAAAATCTGCCTCTGATTACCAAACCCCAGCCTTGAATGTCCCTCTCCTTATTACTGGACCACCCTTTTGCTTCCCATTCCCTTCTCAATGACTAATGTATGAACCCTGAGGACTGATTCCTTTTCAGCCCTATGATCGACTTTGATGGGCACCCCCTGGAAAGAACTAACCTGATCCTGGACCACTGTTCTTGCAGTTCCCTGAATGACTATATGCAATAGTCATAGCCCACTCCCCGGTCTGCGGTTGGATGTATCCCCTGACTATGAATTACCCAACCAGATAACAGGCTGTAGCCTAGCCCCTGGACTGCCCTTTATTGAGAGTACGGGGGCCCCATGCGTGACTGTATCCCCTCTTGTCTTAACCAATGATGACCACACCTATATTTTGAGACATGGCCATTTGAGTGAAAATTACGCAGTGTGTTTGCCATGCAGGCAGCTGGCATGTGCTGTAGATGAGAGATTGGTGTCTCACTGTGGTATACGGCAAGATATCTACCCCCCGGACTGATCATTGTTGGCAAGTATTGACAGCAACCAGGCTCTGGGCCTGCACTGAACAGCAAATCAGTACAGCAGTGCTGTGAGCCATTAGGCTCTGGCTGAGGCACTAAAAGATATGGCACAGCAAGGCAAGGCAAAGCAGGGATGTTGTATCCATCCAGGTAGGTGCTGGATAAGTGAGCACTAAGAGAGCAAACAAGCAGCTCTGAGATGCAGCATGGTCTGATCTATGAATGGAGGGGTTATCGCAGCACATGAAGGATTCTTGCAGTGCATTTCAATGCCGGTTGCCAGTGCACCCTAAAGTGCAGCTTTCAAGCGTAGAAGTGTCCTGTAAGTGAATTGGAAAGGTGCCATGAAGATCCTGAGAGGTTGGCAATTGGAAGGTGCCAGCATCCGTGCTCGTGTGGTGCATGTGATAGGCCCCCTGGATTGCCCTGAGACATGGCTGCCAGGCGTCCAAGATGCTGGCTTTGAGGAGCAGGCAGCAACCTGAAGTAGCCACTTTGACATTTACGTTGAGGATTGTAAATATCTAGTTTCCTTGCGGCAAGTGGCAGAACAAGAATCTGCATATTAATGAGATTTGTTGTTAATAGGGCTGTTAACAAGGAATAATCTTCTGTAATAGTTATCTCACTGCACCTTAGTCAGAATCTCATCTCAATGGCCAGAAATCTATTTGAAAATGCATCGAATCGCTTCTAATGTCAATAAAGGCCTTCCTGCATTTCACACATGATTCTCCCATGTTTCTCACCAAACCTCATGTTGTTCAGGCTTTAAGATTCTGCCTTATGCACGTAATAGGCTTTAACAGGCAAGAAGGTTAAATGCTTATGCTTTTCACGATTGATTTGAACTTCTTTTTCAGTACCGTCAACTCCTCCACAAGATTTGGTGATAGTAAACTATACCGCAGATTCTGTCTTGGTTAGCTGGAAACCTAGTCCTATGCCAAATGGTATTGTGCAGTTCTACAGTTTTAAAATAATTGACAACACAAAAGAAAGCACATATATTATGGTATGTCTTTTAAGTCTTGTTTCACCAGTCTACTATTTCGTGTTAAGTATTGCTTATGACTCAATTGGGTAGTATTGTTTAACATAAATAAAATTAACATTTCTGTTTGGATGTTTGTAAGGAACACTTCACCATGGATATTAAATTGTCAACTGTCAACGGTCCCTCTGTTTTGCATCTGTTTTTGATTTTTGGAACTCACACTGACATGTAATAGAAATTACATTGGCTTGTTGATTTGATGAAAAGAAATCCCATGAAATGCTTATAAGAATATCTCTTGGGCTTGTATGGAAATGCAGAAGAAAACAAGCTGTAGTTAACTAGCAATTAATGCAAATAATTGGTTTGATTTTCCACTCAAGTGATTTACTGAGATGCTAAAAATATTATTTTTATCCAGAACATAACCAAGCCCTATTCAAATGTACAGTATAAATCAAAATTCTGAAGTATGCATGTAAAATTAAATCTCCTAAAAAATCTCATGATTTCTTTTATGTTTCAAGAATACAACAGCATCATATCATGAAGCATCTCTCACTGGCTTTGAACCATTGCACGAATATCACATCAGTGTGTCAGCTTTTACAAAAGTGGGAAATGGAGATCAATTTAGTAACATAGTCATTTTCAAAATAAATGAATCAGGTTTGTTGAGCTCTGCTGATATTACTTGACAGCTATTTTAAGTACAAGGATAATATTTTATGATAATCAAGCTTTTCCGGCATTTTCAAACTCTGTAATTATTAGATATTGCTCCTAAGTTCTGAATCATAAACGTTGTAAAAGCCATGACTTGCACTTTAATTTACATGATTTGTACACATTCCTCGGACCTGAATAATTGATGTGCAATATTTAATCAGGGAAACTGTTCAAATAAGCTGTTAGCTAAATTTTCATCAGAATGGTGATTAGCAAGTCTAAGGTGCAGATCTCAAATAACCTATATCAGAATTTTACTCTTGGAGGAATGTACAGCTACTGCGTGAACATGAGAAAGTACTCAGCTTTCCATCACCTCTCTGCCGAAATCACAGGGCTGCACTAAATAGAAGTGGCAGAGATAGAAAGAGAAATACTAAATAGAGGGACAACTCTTGTCTGCTGAATGAAAGGATCAAGAAACAAAGAACTTCACTGCCACGGGCATTGCGGAGCCAAGTCTAGCTGGTGAACTGTTTAGCTCAAGAATGCTACATTGGTCAGTGACCACTTGGCATGGTAATTGGAAAAGTCCAAATGTACTGCATTGTGGATATGTCATGATGGTTAAGCATTTGCTGGAGCTCCTGTTTCTCCTTCTTGCTTCCTATCCAATAAAGTACAGCCTATGATCAACTTTCTAATTTCCACATGTAGAGTTGAAGGTCCCAATCACAAAGAAGCTATTCTTACAAAACCATAGCCCAGAATGAAGTGAGGAATTGCTTTTTGTACCACAGAGGTTTTTTTTTCATGTTGGACCTCCTACTTTAACAATTTTGATAATGACATGACCAATTCCATTAGCAATGTTCTGGCAGCATTATAGCATAGCAACAGCCCCATGCCATAGCAGTTAAATTCTTTTCAGAACCTAAGTACATCACAGGAGTCTCAATTTAAATACGTTTATGAACCTCTCACCTCTCCACAGTGGGAAGCACATTAACCTGATAGTCACTGCTCCTACTTTGATGATAAGTTGAGGCGGGTTACTTGTTTTCAAAGTTTTAGCTACTCACCCTGCCCTCATTCCCCAGGGAATGTGAGGTAGGCACAATTTAATTGAGTCTTCTCAGTGGTGTGACTTTGAATATGTGTGCAGATCCCAGTTATGCCTATCTGTTTTCTTTGTTTCAGTCCTACTTGGGCCCCATCCCACAGCTCTTTCTCCAGTATATTGATAGAATCATCCATGCTGCTTCCTGCTCTTGTCTGGAATTGGAAAAATTAATCAATTTGCTTCCAATTTCCATCCATCTCTCAGCTTCACATGGCACATATCTGATTTTTTCCTTTCCTTCCTTAACTTCATTGTTACAATTTCTGTGTAGACGCTATCTACTAATTTCCTGTGTAAATCCACCGACTCCACACTTACCATGACTGCACAGACTCTGCTTCCTGTAGGGATTCCATTCCATTCTCACAGTTTCTCCATCTCCGCCACATATGTTCTGATGATGCCATCCATACGAATGTTTCCAACTTGTCCTCCTTTCTCCTCAACTGCAGACTCTTCTGCCAACCGTGGTTGACAGTATCCTCAGCCACGTCCAAGCTGACTTCTGCCCTCACCCCTTCCCCTCACAACAAGAACAACAATCAGGCTCTCCCTGTCCTCACTTTCCACCCCACCAGTCTCTGCGTTTGAACGGTTGTGTTCTGCCATTTCCACCATGACTTCCAATGTAATACCAACACAAAAAACAACTTTCCCTCCTTTTCCTTGTCAGTATTCTGCAGGGAACATTTCCTCCATAGCACTCTGGTCCTCTCCTCCATCACTTCTAACACTTTCTCCCTCAGCCATGGCATTTTCCAGTGCAATTCCAGATAGTTAACACTTGGCCTTTTATGTCTTCCTTCCTCACTGTCCAAGGCACCAAACACATCTTCTAGATGAAACAGATATTTACTCATACTTCTTTTGGTCTGATCTGTTGTATTTGTTGATCACAGCGGGGTCTCCTCTGTATTGGCAAGACTTTGCAGAACACCTCAACTCTTGTCTGTACGAATGACCCCCAACCTCCCAGTTGCTTCCGTTTCAATATCATCGTGCTCTTGTACTAACATTTCCATCCCAGATCTGCCTATGAACTTTACAGCCTTCACAACAGAGTTCAACAACTTTACAGCATGAACACCATCCTCCATCTTGATTACACTCCTACCCCTCCTCCCCCCCCCCCACCCCATTTCTGTATCTTGTTTCTATGAGTTTGCTCATAGCAAAGCCAATTTATTTTTGACTATTCACATCTATCATTAACACCTTTTTTGCTCCTAGGTTCCCTTTTACTATTATTAGCATTACCTTTGTCTTTTGCTCTGGGCACCCTCACCATCTGTTCCACTTGTACCTTGTCTTCTTTGACAACAGCGTAACAACATTATTTTACAACCCTGTTCAGTTCCAAAGAAGAACCATTGATTCTGCACAGATGCTGCCAGACCTGTTGAGTTTCTCTAGCACTTTCTGCCTTTAGTCAAAATTGAGGCAATATTTCCTTGTTCAACAACCAACTATATACATCTGTTAGGCTGATACTTCATAAGTCTGTGATAGGTAGAGATTTTCAATCACGATGCTCAGAAAAAAAAGGAAATGTTGCTCGCCCACTTTGTAATCTTACCGCAGGTTATATTCTAGCAATATGTTTCTTGAAAATAGACAATACATAGAAATCAAATATAAAAATGTCAACTATTTGCTTGTTTGGTTTGTTAATGCATTACTGATGTGTTAAGTACAATGATGTTTCCTCTGCTGTATAGTTCCAGATACTATTCAAAATCTTCAGTGCAATGCATCAAGTTGGCAGTCAGTCATTGTTGAGTGGGATCCTCCATTAAAATCAGATGGAATGATCACCAATTATGTACTTGTGTTTGAAAATTATGTTCAAACTGTTGCTGACAATGATCGTGTACATACCTTTAGTGAGCTGTTATCAAATACATCCTATCAGTTCAGTGTAATGGCTGTTAACTCTGTGGGCCGAGGAGAAAGCAAAAACTGTACTGTGACTACATTATTGGAATCAGGTATTTATTTCATCATATTTGGTCTACCATGAAAATGTCCAGAATATTGTATTTAGTTTGTGGTAAAATATATTTTAATATAATTTTATTTTGTAGGAAAAAGAACAGTTTAAGGAAAAAAATCAAAATGGGTGAACTTTACAGTGTACTATTGCAATTTATTACTAAATCTGTGACCTTCTGGTACATTATGTTTTTTTTATTATTGGGGTGATGCTAATTTATAAGAATATGTTCCAACTGTGAAAGTAGTTAGCGATGGCGTGAGACTCTTTACAGTTGTTACCAAGTAAAAGTAGAAAGCTGTGTGAGCTTGTTCTGAAGGTAGCAGCAGATGACTAAAGGACTAATGGTCATTAACTATATTTAGTCATCCCACTTGTCATCACATAACCATATCTTCATAAGCAAAACATATTTTCAACAATTCCTCCTCTCACCTTCTCACAGATATACAGTATCTGACACCTGATTATTTTGCTGATTTCCAGAATGTCTTGCGTGAGAATATTGATACTCAGTATGAAGGCTTGACTTTCTGTTAATGCCTTCTCTAGGTATAACTTCAACTGTTATATTGATGTTTTTGATTCTTTGGATAGGATGACATAGAAAAACAGTTATAATCCCTCTTGTGTTTATTTCCGCTTTAATTACTTCAGCAACATTATTGTATCAGTAAGAAGGGCCACACATAATAAGTAAATGATAATATGTTGTATGATTTGATTTAAAGGATCCAAAAATGCATTTATAATTGACAAAATGTGTTCATTTTTATCAAGTTAATTGTATCATAGTATTTAAACAATGATGTGTATATCAGCTATGTGTACTGCCTTTTTACTGTTATTCCCAAAATGGATAATTTTCACATAGAAGGCAGGATGGGCATATGGTGGAGTATGATCTATGATCATCTCAATCATGTTTAGGAAACCTGGTAGGCATGGATGAGTTGTGCTGACGGGCTTAGTTCCATGCTATATGACTCGAAGACTCTATATTGGCAGGAGGCCCAAGTTATAATCATGCCCACGCCTCACCTGTAATGACAAATACTATAGGTGCTAAATCAGCGTTACCATATTCCTCACTCTTTCAATCTGGTGCAGCAAACCCATGGAGATAAACCTGAATCCAACATTAAAGTGGGGAGAAACACTCATGTGAATGAAGGAGCAAGAAAATACTCCTTCTGGTCCCACAAAAAACTTTTTTAAAAAAACTGCGATATACCTTTTTCAGGAGCAGCCTGAAGCAATTTCTTTAAAGATTACTGTTTGGATCACTTAGTATTTATTGCAGATGTTTCATCCATTGCCATTAATAATTGAAACCTGGTACCTACATGGGACTTGAGAATAGTTTGCAGGACTCCATGCCATTATCTCCATATAATGTGCAGCATAGATACGTTAAAACATATTGTGTAAGATAAAGCTCTCAAGACCTTTGAAGTTTACAATTGAATACTAAAGGTAACTTCCACAATCTACCAAGTGTTTCAAATTAATATGATCGCTGACTGAATATCTTCAAGATGTGTGACCCTGAACATTTTTACACATCAATTTGTACTTTACCTTATTTTGGTTATTACCTGAACAAAACAAGCAATCTGTCATTTCTGTTTTTCTTAAAACAGATTTTCATTGGATAATATCTGCTTTGAATACAGTATGTATTCACCTCAACATGCATAAAGCCCTCTGCATACATTGCTTTACTTTTGAAAGGAATGACTGTTAAAGCAACAAATAATATTCATACAGCAATTGGATTAGTGGTGACTTAATCAGTTTTTATGCTACTGATTGAGGCAGGATTGATGGTAAAGATACATAAGGAATTCTTTATTTTGCATATAGTACTATGGGACCTTTAATGTTCAATAGAATCACAGAACAAGTCTCAGTTTCACAGATACACAAAGGTGACACCTCCAAAAAAGTGACACCTACACCAATGCAACATTTCTTCAATGTAGTGCCAAACTAATTTTACATGGTTTAAATCCAGCTCTGACTCAGTTGTAAGTGCTATCAACTGAATTAAGTTGACACACGAAGAAGGAACTGACAATCTAGCATCATTGCTGTTTTACATTGAATGCTATTGAATTTTCTCAGGCTGGTTAAAATAAAAAAAGGAAGCAGTGATTAATATAATTGTATTTTTCAGTTCCAAGTGCTCCTAAGAATCTAGAGATAATTGGCGTTCGATCAACCTATGTCATTTTGAAGTGGACACACCCTGATATTATCCCTGGGTATTTAAGGCTTTTCAGGATTATTATACAACGACGCTCTGCATTGTGCATGAACTGGGATACTCAAGGATGCCTTGAAGCTGAGCAAGCTCAAGATCATAACATTGATAATGATAATTACACCATGGAGGCAATTGTACACGGATTAAAGAAATTCCGATGGTACAGATTTAGGGTTGCTGCTAGTACTAATGCTGGATTTGGCAACTATTCAACTTGGATGGCTACAAAAACAGCTGTTGGCTGTGAGTATAGATTGAAATAATTCTCAAATTATAACAGCAATGTTCATTTTGCTGATAGTTCATTTATATTAAATTTCAATATTGCATCAAAATAAATAATGTCATCTTCATATGATTTAGTCATCAATGACAAAATGATATTTATTTAAACTTCTGGATTTTCAGCCTATTGTTTATAATGACAAATTTTTGATAACTTTAACTTCTTTTTACAATGTGCGAAATATTATCTGAGAACAAGAGCTATGTCAAAGTGAAGCATTTTGTAAAATGGCTCTGTATGCCTGTTTTGTATGTTTGCATACTGTATTTCTATGTGGTAAGTCACTCTTCTATGTTTGAAAATACAAAAGAAATGAATTTATCTTTAACTTTTGACAGTATATTTATGAAAAAGATGTAACTCTGATGAAAATAGTATGCATTTATTCCTGAAAAGATTGACACAAATTCAAATGGTTTTCAACCTAAGTGACAAGCATAACTTGTCTATTAATGGATTTCTCTAAACTACATGTTGTGAGGATGAGCCACAAAATGATATGATATCCAGATTTACGTTTAACCTGTTCTAGCTACAGCTTCTGCTGCCTTATGGAAGGAAAGCAGTAAAGACAGCCTTGACCTTTGTTAAACCCAAATTCCAATGCAGCAATAGAGGCATGATAATCAGGAAATGATGGTTATTAGTTACAGAAAATTCATTATTGTGGAAAGCAGAGAACAGTGTTCAGAACAGGAAGTGAACAGCTTATCCAGGAATGAGAAAATGAAGACAGAGAGTTCTTACTGGACAAATTAATATGATTTATAAGGAGACAGTTTGGCAGTATCCTTCACCAGTACTTACTGAACTTGATTTAAAACTACCTTAAATCATACTGTGGCAGTTCCTGGTGTGCCAAACAAAGTTCATTGAAATTCTTCCAAAAGAAGTAATACTAAGCATATTTCTATGTTATCTAGTAAATAATGGGGGTCATTTAGCTCAGTTGGTTGGATGGCTGGCTTGTAATGCAGAGTAACGCCAACAGGTTGGGTTTACTTCCATATCAGCTGAGATAACAATGAAGGACTCTCCTTCTCAATCTCTTCCCTCAGCTGATGGGTGGTGACCCTCAGGTTAGGCCACTACCAATCATCTCTGTCTAATGAGAGAGCAGTCCTATGGTATAGTAAGTCTACAGTATCAGTAAAACAAAAAGCATATTTTGATATAAGATGTTTGTCTCACATGCATTTTATTAATTAGTTGTGTTTTGAAAATTAGAAAGGCCTGGACTTGCTATAAGTTTAGACTGATGCAACACTGTCATGGTGGCTCATTGGTTAGAACTGCTGCCTCACATTACCAGGGACCCCGGTCCAATTCTAGCCTCAGGCAACTATCTGTGTGGAGTTTGCACATTCTCCCCGTGTCAGTGTGTGTTTTCTTCGGGTGCCCTGGTTTCCTCCCGCAGTCCGAAGATGTGCAGTTTAGGTGGATTGGCCATGCTATATTGCCCATAGTGTTCAGGGATGTGTAGTTTAGGTGAATTAGCCATGGGAAAATGCTGGGTTACAGGAATATGGTAGGGGTCTGGGTGGGATGCTCTTCAGAGGGGTGGTGTGGACTTGATGGGCCGAATGGCCTGCTTCTACACTGTAGGGATTCTATGAACATAAGTAAAATGAAATGCGAACTTCTCAGTACCAAAATTCAAAGAAGTTTGCACTGTGCTCAAATCTCCTTGATTTTTGTTCACTGTTTCTGTGAAACTCCTGCAAAAACTTCTGCTTTACCTGCAATTTCTTGAAAAGTTATACTCATTTGAAGATGCCCCAGGATCTGTACAATGTAATTCGGGAAACAGGATATGCCAGGCTACAGAAGAAGAGCTGTCTAATTTAGCTTTGTGAAGAGGACCACTTTGGGAGGCACCGTAGCTCAGTAGTTAGTACAGCTGCCTCACAGCACCAGGGACCCATTTGACCAGCGTTTGATTCCAGCCTTGGGCAACTGTCTATATGGAGTTTGCATGTTCTCCTGTTTCTGCTGGGTGTTCCTGTTTCCTCCCACAATTCAAAGATGTGCAGGTTAGGTGGTTTGGCCCTGGTAAAATACAGGGATAGAGTTGGGTGGGATGCTCTTCAGAAAGTTGGTGCAGGGCTAAATGGTCCTTTTCCATACCAGAGGAGTTCTTTCATTCACATTATATGTCCAATATATGGGAAGTTGCCATTTGCTTTTCTTCTGTGGCATTTGGTCTTCTCTTTTTCTTAAGGAATAAAACAAAACAACAGATTAACAGATTAACAACAGAATTATTGGACTCGAAACACTAACTCTGCTTTCATCCCACAGATGCTGCCAGAACTGCTGAGTTTCGCCAGCAATTTCTGTTTTTCTGTCAACAGCTGATAATTGGGCAACAAGCTGTGCCATCTATTGTCATCGTCGATGACTCAATCTGACTATCTTGAATAGAAGCAGAGGAATTGTACAATGACACACATGCAGTTTCCAGGCTGATGGATAAAAGGACCATTGGAGTTCTGAAAGTGAACCTCTGCTGCTTGAACAGTTCATACGAGGTCTCCAAAATTAGAAATTGCTGGTGCATCCTTCAAAGTTTTTCTAGTTTTTAAATTAATTTATGGGATCTGGGTGTCACTAGCTCGGCCAGCATTTACTTCCCATCCCTAATTATCCTGGAAAGGAAGGCTTCTTGAACTACTGCAGTCTTTGGGGTGTAGAGACACCCATAGTGCTGTTAGGAAGGGAGTTCAAAGATTTTGACCTTGTGAAGGAGCGATGATATATTTCCATGTGAAGGTGGTATGTGACTTGGAGGAAACCTTGCAGATGATGCTGTTCCTATACATCTACTGCCCTTGTCCTCTAGTGGGTAGAGGTTGCAGAGTTGGAAGGTGCTGTCAAAGGAGGGCTGCACACTGCAGACAATACATTGGCTGCAACGAATCCTAAACTTTATAAAGAGAATATGACAACAGGATGACATCCACTCAGAGGAATAGTTAATAATGGGTGCAAAGGAGGTATACTCTCAAAAGTATTATATTTGTGATTTAGACTACTTGGACACTGCGCATTAATTTCTTTTTGCAACCAGCAGCTAACAGGGAACTCTTTCAAAAGAAACACATGACAGCACATCTATCCTATGTAACCTGCTGTGACTTTGCAAAAAAAAATTGTCATCTGAAGTAATTTATCGTCACCAAATGAGTGCTTCCTTTTCAGTACAACTGTACCTTCCATGAATGTTGAGTATAATATAAGTGCAAAGTCTGTTTTCATTCAACATTTTCAGACACTCATTCTATTTTTTTCTGAACACTATGTTTCTCCCAGAAGTCTACATGACCCTTCTTATCACGTATTGTGGTATCCTAGTTTCAAAGTTCCACCAGAGGCCTTGGAATTCAGGAGATGTTTGATTACTCCTGCACTACAAGTTTCTACTGAAACAGCCCTAATCTCATAGCATCAGGCCTCTGGTTTGACACACTACAGCAGTCTTGAGGCTGTTGTAAGGCAAACTGGTCTTGTCTTGCATGTTCAAAGTGGTCAGAGGGGGAGCACCAGAGAAATACTATTTGGTGCTGCTAGGGAGATGCATTTCAGCAACTGCATTCTCCTTGGCCACGGATTTATGGCTCCAGGGAGCAGTGTAATATCAAGTCAAATGACAGTGGTAGGAAACTACGATTAATGATGCTTTCTATTCGACCCCTATTTCCTCCAAACTTCCATCAAGAAACCAACGTGTCCTTGATTGCTTTTTAGTTGAAAATCTGTTGTATTGGTGCTTGCGAAGATGACAACTTCCATGAATTTACAACAAGTGTGAACTGCCAATTCAAAAGCCAAAACTTGTCAGTCATTGCATATCTGGGTGATTGTCCTCAGAATCTTTACTTTTTAAATTATTTTATTCATTCACACGATTTGGGCATCACTAGCCAGACTAGCATTTATTGCCCATCTCTAATTGATCTTGAGAAGGCGGTGCTGAGCTGCCTTCATGAATCACTGCAGTCTTTGTGATGTGGGTGCTGTTAGGGAGTGAGTTTCAGGATTTTGATCCAGTGACAGTGAAGGATTGTTGATAAATACCAAGTCAGGATGGTGTGCCTTGGAGGGGAACTTGCAGCTGGTGGTTTTTCTACGTATATGCAGCCCTTGTCCTTTTAGATAGTATAAATCTCTAACTTGGAGGGTGCTGTTGAAGGAGCCTTATTAAGTTATTCTAGTGCATCTTTTAAATGATACACGCTGCTGTCGCTTTGTGTTGGGTTGGAGGAAGTAAAAGTTGAAGACATTTGATGGGGTGCCCTCAAGCAGCTGCCTTGTTCTGGATTGCTTCTGGAGTATTGTTAAACCTACAGACCCCCAGGCAAGTGGAAAGTATTCCATCACACTTCTTCCTTATGCCTTATTGATGTTGGGCAGGCTTTGAGGATTCAAAGGATGGTTTACTTGCTACAGAATTCTCAGCCTCTGGCCTGCTCTTATAGACACAACTTTCAGATATTTGGGGCACTTCAGTTTCTGATCAATGGTAAGCCCCCAGGATGTTGATGATGAGGAATGTACCTCCAGTAATACCATTAAATGTCAAGGACAATGGTTGTGTTCTCTCTTGTTGGAGGTGGTCATTACTTGGCAACTGTGCAGCAAAATTGTTGCTTGTCACTCATCTGCCCAAGCCTGAATGTTGTCCAGGCCTTATTGTATTCGGACAAGAACTGCTTCAGTATCTCAGGAGCCATGAATAGTGCTGAACATGCAATCATTTGTAAATGTGCCCACTTCTGAACATAAAGTGGGGGGAAGGTCATTGAAGCAGCTGAAGATAGTTGATTCTAGGACACTGCCCTGGGGATCTCCTGCAGTGAATACCTGGGGCTGAGGTAGTTAACCTCCAACAACCAAAAATAGCTTGTTTTGTGCTAGGTATGACTACAATCAATGCACAGTTGTCTCCCTGTGTAAGTAAAGTATTTCTCAAGCAGCCTTCTTTCAGTCGAGTACCAATTAGTTTTGGATCCCATGTGTGATCCTATAGGCAGCTGTTTCCTCAGCCTTTGCTGTGAAAAGGGATACATCATTTTCCATTGTCATTTCTGCTCAGTGAATCACTAGCTGCTAATTCCTCAATACTTTTGATTTCACTCCTTCAGATGAGTGCTGGAAGAGAGGAACCAAGTGGTAAATTGGAAACAATTGGTACAAAGGAGGACGCAGCAGGATACAACAACTAGAATTAGTGGATAGACCAGTCTTTATCCCTATCCCCCACTATTATCTTCAAATGCAGAGAGCTCTTCCTCGACCATTTCCAAATCATTATCATTCTCCTTTTTGTTGTGCTGTAACTGCAGAAAAGAAAGATGGCAGACACTGAAAATGCTATTATCTTCCTCAGGATTAAATAAAAAGAGAAAAGGAGTGGTAGTTTATGGCTGTGTTCTCAGGGTGATGGTACGTACACCCAGTTACTGACCTGCAGCTTTAAGGGACTCATCAACCATATCATCTTGTAAGCAGTGGTCAAAGAGGTTTAAGGATGGGAGGGATACCTCTCTAGTGCCCAGTATATGTTGGCCATTGTAAATGAAATGAAGGAAAGTCTGGGTTTTTTAATTGTGCCAAATGTTGTCAAACAGAAGAAGTCTAGTTTGTGGGGTTTGCTAATATCAAAGGAGAGGGATGGATTCTTATGCATTAAAGGGGCTTTATAGCCAGGACAGGAAGTTAGAACTGTATTTGGCCAAGGAACCTTATCATTTCCTCACATTGTTGACTTTATGCAGGTAAAATACAATTAAAAGCAGGAGGAACTTAAATGACTTGTAAAATCTATTTAAACTTACACATTGTTTGTAATCCATCCAACCAGTTTTTGCACGATTGGTGCTTCATTCTCAAGAACCTCTTGGACTTTTGTTTCATTCTTACCAGTCTTCATCAATCGCTCCACTCCTAACATTCTCTGAGCATACTTGTTCCATTAACACTCCTTACTGCTGCTTTGCACATGCACAACTCAATCACTGTTCTGTTCACTCATTTCTGTCTTTGGTTTTTTACTTTCAGAGCAATACAACAGAATTCTTTCGAGAATGTCCACCTTTTTATCAACTCTGTTGAAATTTATAATAAACATTCTAGAGAATGGCATTTGCAATCAATGATTTCTTGCCAGTTTGAAATTAATATTTGATTGGATTTACATTCTATTTATTCCAATAAAAATTGACTTGAAGCATTTTGGCTCTACTTCACTTCTGAAATGTTGAAGTGGTATCTATAGGTTTGATTTGTTCCCAACTATAATGATGCCCAATATATATTCTAATCCATAGTGAAGATATGTAATTTTAAATCAAATCATAGTTGTAAAATATGGTTAAATATACTGTTGAATTTTTTCTTAGAAGTGTTTTTAATATTGTGCAGCGTGGCATTGTTCATTTTAAATTATTCTTTGAGAAGTATTTTTATTTTTACAGATCCAGACAGACCTCCTGAAAATGTTGCTGTTACAGTAAAATCCTCTGACACCATTGAGATTAGCTGGGAAGAGCCTGTGATTTTCACAGGTCCAACGTCTTATCTAATAGATATAACAATGGTAAGGGCTTTGCTTTAACTAGCACAAAAGCAAGAAACTAATTTGATCTTTGTACCATGCCTGTTTAAAAAAAATGACAACAAAGTTGCCCTGAAATTTCAAAAATAAATTCAGTTTATTTCAATGTGCTGTTTGGATGAATTGAAAATCTTGTTATTGCCATTCTGTAGATAATAGAGGTTTAAGTTGTTTGTCCCTCATGGAACTTTATATTTGTAAACGTTTAAAATAATCAACCAATTTGTTTTAAATTATTGTTAATTTCTTCACTCTTGCTCTTTAGTACTTTGGCTGATTTTGCTGTAATGTGACATTTGCCTGTGTGGATGAGTCTTGAGTCAGCTGTCAGGGTGTCTATGCTAGGAATCCAGAACTCTCTCATTACTATGTTGTTTATGTGGCAGCCACAGTTCAGCTGGCAGCACTTTTGCCTCTGAAGTGCAAGGTTCTTCAGCCAAGTTCCACTCTGGCATTTGGGTACAAAAATCAAGGCTGACATACCAGGGCAACTGCATTGTTAGCAGTGTAGTCTTTTGAATGAGATGTTAAGCTGAGGGTCCAATTGCCTGCTGGGTGCATATAGAAGTTTCCATGACACTAGTCCTTTAAAGGGCAGCAGCGTTATCAGTGTAATAAAGAGAAAAGATTGTGGGAATTTGTCAAGTGCATATTGGCTGCTGTGCTTCCCGCACTCCTCTTCCAAAGCTCTTACCTTGGCTGTGAAGTGATTGGAAATGTTGGTGCAAGTGAAAAGCATGATAGGTGCAAGGCTTCATTAATCCTCCTGAAGCTCAAAGATCTAGACTTTATTTGGCTGACCCTTTCACGAAGATTCAAATTTGGAAGTGGATCTTAAAGGAAGTCATTGATTTTAACCTGCATCCTACAATGATTGCAATTCCACCAAATGGCCACCAAGGCATTAAATAGTTAATTTATAAATATAGCCGTTTTCAGTTAGCTTGTAGGAACTAAAAGCGTAGTACACTGCTGGCAAGAAGCCTTCCCCACCAGCTGCACAAACTGGGAAGATCATCTCTAATGCATGCATTGAAAATGTTATTTTCCAAATGTAAAATCTAATTCCTTCAAAATAAAAATTGGAATCGTGCTTATTAGCTTAAACACTCGTGGAAGATAAATGTCTTTTTATCTTTATGCTATCATTGTAAAATTGTCAAAACAGTGTTCTAGCAAATTACTTTTAAGCTTAGGGGAGAGTGGTTTGATTGTCAGTATAGGAAATGGAAGCTTGGTTAGTGCATCAATAACATCAGTCATGGTCAGACCTCTGTGGGGTTAGAGGCATAGCTGCCAAAGAGTACCATGTAACACCATTACACAGCTTTAACTGACCAATTACTTCAGCAGCTGTACTTGAGCACAAACAGTGCCGAATTAATAGGCTAAAGCTGAACTATTCAAACATGGATACTGATAAAATAATTGTTACACAATCTGTAGTGATTGTGATAGAAATATGTTTGCAATTCAAAATGTTTCTTGGTTCAATTTTATTAACACTTTGTAGCAAAGTAAGTGATGTAACACTGCTGGGTTTTAATGAAGCCAGACAATTGAATTCAGCAAGATTATTGGTTTTGAAAGCATAACTTTGATTCAATTTCATCAAGAGGTTGGAAATAATGAGCTGAATTTTCCTAAACTTTGGCGAAATGTAATTTTCATGACCATCATTGAAAGTTTCCTTCCATGGGTCATGACTTTAACTGCTTGCCTGATTAAGTGTACACATGAACTCGATGCACTCTTCTCACTGAATCATGTTGTCACAGAAGTGGAAGTACTCACCGCTGCTGGGGCCTCCCACGTTCACACCATGAGGGTCATATTTAAACCCCAGTTTGCACCACTTCAAACTCTACAAAGCCACAAACTGACGTTCAAAGTATGCTACCAAACTGCTATTCTACAGGAGACAGGACTCCCTTTTGGGGACAGGAGTCTGGAGATCTCAGCGGTAAGGTAGTGGAGAGAGGGAGGCTGCCCTCCTTCACGACTGTGAAAGGAGGCCACGGCACCAAATGCTGCCAGTTGGAAAGAGAATGCAAGCCAAGTCAGTGTGGTGCCTTCTGAGCTCCACAGGATAAGTGCTGCCATGTTTTCTCTACTACCATGTATTCACTCTAAATCTACCATTACACATGCCATCCACAAAGGCTAATGGTTTACCATTCTCAGCACTCAATGGCTCTCACCCACCTCATACTTACAAACAGGTACTCTCCTCACTCTCAGCACTTTCTCCTCACTTACTTGGGACACCTCATCACCTTTGCTGCTCTGGCACCACCACTAACATCTCTTCCATCTGCTTTCATCTCACTCAAGTCCATCTTTTGACTCACTGCAGACAAAAATGTCACACAAGAGGACAGAGAGGGCAAAGACAGGTAACGGGATGGCTGACATTCATGTCCACACCAGTACAAGGAGAACATCCTTGAATTTGCTGGAGAGGATTAGGACTTCCATGTTGGGACAATCAAGAAAGCTCAGTTGTGTTCTGTTGCTCTCTGTTTATCACTCCTATGAACATATTCTTATCATGCTCAAGCTTCCACCCTTATTGCACAACTACTTCCCCTGCTCTTTCAACCAAGCATCAGTGGCACTGAGGGAATAACCCCTCAGTTCATCAGCTCTCTCTCCACTTCTGAAGAAGTGACGATAGATACTTCAGTGGATACACCTGACTTTCTCCTGCCCCACTCAGCTCAGCTGATAGGCTTTCACCCCAGTGGATTCTCAAATCTAGATTAGACTGAAAAGCACAATCTGGTGATCACGTCACCACCATGTCTCCAAAGTTGGTCAAGAAAGAAACTCTGTGCAAATGCACAGGCAGGAACATGAATAACAGGTAGGTTTATGTGGGATACTGAGCAAAATTGATTGAATATTGGAGGAGTCCACCAATATTATCAGTACTGTGTTGGCTCTGGCATCTGTCTGTCACCATGGACAGGTTTCTAGCCATCATGGGCCCCAGTTCTAGTGAAATGCTCAGTGGCTGCTGGAAATTCTTGTAGACTCAAACTTCAACGCTTTAAATAGTAATGCTCAGCATTAGTGACATTGAATAGAGGGGCAAGGGACCTTGACTTGACTCCAGGAGCCTCTTCCTCTCATAGAGACTGTGTGGTGACAGTAGACACTCAGACAGGAGAGGAACAACATACAGGACCCGCTCTCAAGTTCCAGGACCTTTCACTTCTTCTGTGCGGCCTACAATACCCAACCCTGTGGAAGTTATGCTGAGGTGAATGAGCGTGTATTAGAACAGGATACCTCCTAGCACCTCAAATAGCCCAAAACCTCCAGGACAACAGGCTCCTGTGCAGGGCAGGTTTTCTGTCCCCTTGCTGCAGACCCTGCAACTGCACCTCAACCTCGTGAGATGGACTCAGAAACAAAAAAAATGTTCACTTAAATGGCACAGTTGTCCTTCATTGTACGTACCATCTCACATTTGTAAATATAAATGCACTTTAAATAATGACACATCTGATTGACCATGATTTTAACTGTAGGACCAGATTAAGTAGATACCTTGTCAGAGTTAAGCAGCCACTTCATACCCACCAAGACCATACAGGTCATATTGGCAAAGCATAGCTTATTTCTGAAAAGAGTTTACACTTTTCTGGGGCAAAGTTTCATTCTATTTCATTCTGCACCAGTACCTAGGAGAATCCCAATCGACAGATAAATGAATCAAGATTAGCTAATAACGAGATGCAAATCCATAGAAATAAGGCCCTCACTGTTTACTAGTGAGATCTTCAACTAGCCATGAAACCTTGTGGTACCTTTTTTCTCGACATCAAAAATGTGATTTTTTTTTCATTCTCATTGTATCTCCGAAATTTCTCACCTTTAACTTTCATGTTCAAGGGCTGAAAAACTTCTCCCCATTTTTTATAAGTCTTTCAATTTATTGAAAAACAAATGTACAACAAGAAAACACAATAATTGTATATAATCTAATCTTTGGGAAATTTGTAGAACATCAGAAATTACTGTATGGCATCAACACTTTATTTTTACATTTTTTACAGGTAGACAGTGAGGACTTCAACATGACCATTCTTAGATCAGAGAAACAGAACAAAATGTATGAGGTATCTGGATTGAAGCCATTCACAAGATACTCTGTCATCATTGTAGCATTTACAGGCAGAGAGGAAGATGCCCGAATACATGGCAAAGCCAGTGAGCCAATCATTGTTCGGACGCTTGAAGCTTGTAAGTCTACTTTATCTAGAACATAAGCTTTGATTTAAACTATTTTTAGGATCTAGATGAGTGAGGACATTTAATGAATTTTTGTGTGGCAGAATATAGATGGACATGACTGAGTTAAAGTATAGAATGGCTCTGATAAGAATGAAATTTAGTAAATAGACAAAGAAGAAAGTTTCTCAATTTTTTTTAATGATTATGCTTCTTTCAGTCATGCATATTTAATTTTAACCATCAAATCATCTACTAATTTTCCTTTAAGCTGTTTATATTCAATTTTAGTTTCTCTCATTTTTTTGTTTCTCTTTGTCAACTGAATTTAAAAAAAGACTTCCCTGTAGCAGTTATGTACTAGGGTCAGCCTTAAAGAGGTAAGAATGGAACTTATGTTCCTCAGGGTAAAGAATTCCTACTCTCAAGAACTGTTAGCCAAACCAATTGGCTGGCAGCTGAGTAAACCTAGCAGTCGCAACAAGAGGATCATGTTCATCAAATGGGATCATGGACCAAAGGGATGAGGGAGTCGCATTTGATGGCGGATAGAGCCCCCAACACGTATAGAGTGCCCTCCAAAGCCGGTACCCTCCCTTCCTTCCTACCTTTTCACTTAAGATAGTGAGAAAGCAAGCTGGTGATTTTCCTCCATAGTAAGGTAACAGCACATTAATTATCTTGTTAAGGACCTCAACTGACCTAAGAAAGGGTGGGTTGGCTGATGACTCATCATTTCACAGTTTTAGAGGAGACAGCTCAGGGATGAGTGGAAAGGCAGTGGCTAGTCACCTTCTATTTTATATGCCACTGCCTTAAATATGCCTGGCAGTAGTTGTAAAATACATTTCACCCTTGCCACTGGTTTCTAAAGTACTAGTAACCTTTACTTTTTTACCAGTTTTGCCTGGGATAAGTTCACCAGGTCCACAGACCTTTAGCTGAATTTAATGCTAATTCATAGAGGGCAGCCCTCTCCAGTAATCAGAAAGACAGTGTCAACTCTGCCATGGCCATTTCTAGGAGCATTGACAGGAATAAACTAGAATCAGGTTGTTAACTGGCCGATGACAGGTTTAGTGCCTTTAAAGGAGAAGATTCCATCTCTCTGAGCTGCTAACCAACTAGGTGGCTGGCATCTCTTCAGTCTCAACAGCCCACTGAGAGAAGTGACCACTGCTGGGTCTTCAGCAGGCTTTCGATGAAAGATGTCCCAGAAGATAAGTGAATGTAGTGGGCTTGCCAGGCCCAAGCGGTCCCAGGAAAAAGAATTTAGGGATGTTAATGCTGGAGGGCATGGGGGACTCTTTTAAGGGGATAGCCCTTATCACTGAAGGTCTCCGCCACAGGCCGCAGGGTACCCGGTGATCCACCACTGAGCCCATAGGGTATCCATCAGGTTACACTTGAGCTAGAAAATGAGTACCAGTGTGTTGTAACCATCTGGCAGTTCAGAGTGCACATTCTAATTGGTATTGCAGCATCAGTCAACTTACCTTGCTTCCAGCAAGGAACCTTGCTCACTGTAAGCACATAGCATGAAACCACGTGTTAATTGTGCAATAACTTAATACCATTTAAGTCAATTGTTGTAACGTCATACACTCTGCATACCTATACTTTAAATAAGCCACCATTATGCACTTTCTTTCAGTGCCTCAAGACGCACCACAGAATTTTAACCTTCAAAAGATACCTGATGAAGTGACAATGGTTTACGTATCTTTTTTGCCACCATCTCTGCCAAATGGTATTGTTCAGGGATACCAAGCAATTATTGATAAAGAAGGAGAAACATTTGAACGCCATGTAAGCAATCTGAAAATTGTTAAAAACAACCAATCACTGACTGCTGTCATAGAAGGGTTAAAAGGTGGAAATACGTACATCATACGGGTAAGAAGCACTTATTATTATAGTTTGAATAAAAAAAAGTGTAATGATCCCAGCTGCTTTCTGGCAGAACTAGCCATGTCCCAGAATGAGACCTTGATTTTATTTTAAAAACTGAAAGAACTATGGATGTTCTAAATCAGGAGCAAAAACAGAAGTCGCTGGAAAAGCTCAGCAGGTCTGACAGAGTTAAACTCTGATTTTTCCTTCACAGGTGCTGCCAGACCTGCTGAGCTTTTCCAGCTTCTGGTCATGGTTTTATTTTTTCTAATTTTATCTAAGTAGTCATTTGCTGAAACATAAGCATAAAAGGCACAGATTTTCTCCAACGAAACAGAAGTTTATTACACAAAACGAAAGCAAAAGATAAAAGTAAGCAGGCCAAGTTACCTAAACATCGAACAAAAGGCTGAATTTCACCAAAAAATGGCCAAGTGTCAATTTTGGGGAGTTTTATGGAGAATTTCTCTCCAGGAGCTCTAGTGAGTTATCTCATGCAATTTCATGCTGCTTGCCTTAAAATGTAGGCACCAGGCCTCTATGGCATTATCTTATTATGCACTCGTCAGGTGTGAAATATGACTGCCAGGATCTATCAGTATTTCCACAACTGGCACTATGCTTAATGTCCAACTGTGCACCAGGTCAATCAGCAACAAATAGTACTTCATAGTACAAATAGGGGAGGAAAATGAAAAATAAAAGGTTCTCAGGGAACTTCGGTGGCATAAGTGAAACTTCATTACAAATAGAAACCAACAAGCTAAACTTCTTGAACAATTAAACAGTTAAAATGTAACTGTGTGCAGCATAATTCCAACTGCCTGCCATTTATATCCCCTTTCCCCCGGATGATAAAGTAAGCAAATATCCTCACCAAAGTAAGTGTAGAATGAGATGACTTGGGAACTGTATAGTTGATAACAAGGTGTAAATCGTATGCTGATCTCTGAACATTGCAAAGCTCCCCTATAATATTCCAGAGTATCTTGATTTTATTTTTAAGTGGAGCCTATTACATTGAATAAGATCACATTTTAACAGAAAGATATTTGTTGATGTTCTTCTGTCTGCCTGAGTGTACTTCCTTTTTCTGTTAATTAAATATCAATTCCTTTTATCCTAAGGTCCGTGCTGTAAATGGAGCTGGTGCTGGCCCACAAACATTAGAACAGAAAGTAACTATGGATGTGAAAGGTAGGTTATTCTGCTGGTTTTTATCTAATTCACTTTCAAGCACTTCAGTTATACCTTCATGATTGAGTGAAAAAGAAGTGACGGTAACAGAGAGAAAAAGAGAATTTTCTGGGCAATATTGACATTGCCTGTCTTGCCAAAGACTCCAGAGCCAAAATGCCTTGATTCGTTTTCTTCAAGTACCCTACCATTATATATCCACTCGTGGTTTTTGTAAATTCTTCTTCTGAAAGCACACAGAAGAATGTAAGATAAGGGTGATAGTCAGTGCACAACGAAAATGAGGTATGGGAGTGTTTTCACTGACTGAAAGGGCACTGAGGCCACAGCAATGTATCTATTTTCAATGCAAATTGCATTGTTGACTTCATGTTCTAATTTATGCATCTATTTCAGCTTTCTTCCTTATCCTATATACTTTGAGTTACTGAAAGTACAGAGTGATTGGAAGAGAAAGAAATATAATTACAGAAGCCTTCAAAATTATAATGTGGAGGTGCTGGTGTTGGACTGAGGTGGACAAAGTCAGAAGTCACATGACACCAGGTTATAGACTAACAGGTTTATTCGAAATCACAAGCTTTTGGAAGTCACCTGATGAAGGAGCAGCACTCTGAAAGCTTGTGATTTCAAATAAACCTATTGGTCTATATCCTGGTGTCATGTGACTTCTGAGTTCAAAATTAAAAACCTGGATTTTCATAATGTCAGAAAGACTCAGGAATCTATCAAAAATGGTAGTCAAGACCCAATTCTGAGATTTTTGCCCCCTCCCATTCCCAACAGCTCCATTTTCACTGTCTCAGGATTAGGGTACAAGCAATGAGCATGTACCTTGTACTCCTGACCTGCTGGCTTCAGTACAGGGTTAGCCCACTTGTCATGACATTTGGATCATGGCCCCTCAGAGGAATAGTGAATTATAGGTCATGATTCAAGAACCTTTTGAAAGATATTTTCAAATGTTTTATAGTCCAACACTAACTCCATGTCAAATTATACCTACTCCATGCCAACTAATGACTTTCCTTGCCCATACACCCAGCATCATGGCATCTTTTAGCCACCATTCTATCTGATTCCCTAGCCACTCCTATTCACTCAATAAACGCAATGTAGAGAATCACTTGGCACAGATATTTTTGAATTAACCCATTTAGAGATGTTATTATATACCTGTGGACTTGAACTAGGACGCGGGGGAACTTAAACCCAGGCCCAGAGATAGGTACACTACCACTGCACCACTTAAACAGCCCCAATCACTTGTCCTACAATGAGGTCTAGAATTGTTTTAAAAAAAACCCAATCAGTGTTTGATCTTATCAGTGCAGAGAAAACAATACTGTCAATAATGAATACAGTGGACTAAAATGAAAAAAATGCAGGTAGATCACTGCTTCTGGTACAAGATGGGGCCTTGGATGATGAGGACAAAAGGGCAAGTGTTGCATCTTTTGCCTTTGAATGAGAAAATGCTATGGAAGAGAAGAGCTTTTAAGAGCGATGGAGGAGTGGACCAGGGTGTTGCAGAAGAAATGGTTCCTGCACAATATTGACAAGTGAAGGGAAGGAAAAATGAGTTAGGTTATGGTATCTCCCTGGAGGTGGCAGAATTGATTCAGGATAAATGGAAAATAAGGACAAGGGGAATCCTATTATTGCAGAGTTGGGAAGTTCTGAAGGTAAAATTGCAAGATTGGTTCAAACAGAACTCAGGGCCCTGTCAACCATGTTGGAGCTCTGGCGTTTGGTGGGGAGGGGGTATGGTTTGAAGGCAAAGAAATAACGGTTGGAAGCACCTTTGTGGAAGATGGCATCATTGGAACAGATGCGACAAAGACAGAGAACCTAGGAGAATGCAATTGAGTCCTCACTGGAAGAAAGGTGTGAGGAAGTGTAGTCAAGGTAACTGAGGAAGTTGGTGGGTTTATAATTGATGTTGGTAAACAGCTTATCACAAGAAATGGAAACAGAAGTCAAGGATGGGAAGGGAAGAGTCAAAGATGGACCAGGTGAACATGAGAGAGAGAGATGGCAATTAGAAGCAAATAGATTTTTTTTCAATTCTGGATGACAGCAAGAAACAATGTCAATGATGTCATTGGCCATAGGAAGATTCAACCTTTTTCTAATGCCATAAAGTCAAAAAAAACTACCTCCACATAATTGTGAATAATAAAAGCTGTCTATTGTTTCATATATTCTGATTTATGAAAAGCGAATCACAAGGGAATGACAAGGTACTGATTGTGATAAATAATATGAAGTACATGCAACAAGCCTCAGTCTTCATATGCTTTAATGGAATCACAATTGTAGGGAATCTCAAAAGGTTTCATGGCACATGCAAAATCCAAATATACTGACAATACACATTTAATATTTTTTTATATAGCAACTACACCTATTACCAACTAAATATTAAATTTCGTAAACCTAGAAATCAGTGTATAACATTTTATTTACATTTTCAATATTGTTTCAAACAATGATTTTCATTATCCCATTTTCTCCACAGCTCCACCAAAACCTACTTTTAAACCAGCTGTTGCTTTAGACAAAAATGGAGCATTACAGGTCACTTCTACAACTATGACTATCAGAATGCCTGTATGTTATTTCACAGATGAGCATGGTTCCATCAAAAAAATACAAGTAATAGTGACTGAAAAAAGAGGTAAAGATTCATTAATTTTTACAAAGTTTGTCATGAATCAAATGGAAATAACATGAAGAAATTAATTGATAATTCACCACTTTGCCTTAGTGTAACAAAATTACCATTGGTAATATACCATTTTTTTTCTTGTGATGTGATGCATTTGACAATTGCAGGTCTTTTTTGTAGTGCAGTAATTCAGATGTAGTAATTTTAAGAGGCTGATTTGTATGTGGGAACTTCTGGATTGTTTTGTGGCTGCACTGCTTAGAGGCAATATTAAAAACGGGACTAAAACGGAAGTCGCTGGAAAAGCTCAGCAGGTCTGGCAGCATCTGTGAAGAAAAAAATTAGAGTTAACATTTTGGGTCCGGTGATCCTTCATCAGAAGGTGAAGGGAAGGAACAATGTATTAGATTATGGTGTCTCCCTGGAGGTAAGGTCACCGGACTGAAACATTAACTCTGATTTTTTTCTTCACAGATGCTACCAGACCTGCTGAGCTTTTCCAGCAGCTTCTATTTTTGTTCCTGATATACAGCATCCACAGTTCTTTCAGTTTTCAACAATGGGACTGATTCCCTGATTAAGCATTTTCAGAGAGGAACTGATACTCTTTAAGAACACTCAGCAAGAAATTGGGTGTACAGAAAATCCCATTTCTGCCGGACTTTAGGAGTTCCAAGAAAGGAATGTCAGTCTTAGAGAAGATATGCATGGTGTAGTTGTATTCAGGTTCTTAAACTATGCAAATTATTGCTTACAATATGTTGAACAACATCTTTGTTTTTATTTTGAGTTAAAAGCTCCATTTTGAAGGTGAAAGGTTACTTCTTCTATGGTTTTCTGAGTAATTAGTATCTGGAGAATGTTATTCTCTACATGGTGGCTCAGTGGTTAGCACTGCTGCCTCACAGTGCCAGGGATCCAGGTTCAATTCCAGCTTTGGGTGACTGTCTGTGTGAAATTTGCACGTTCTCCCTATGTTTGTGTGGGTTTCCTGTGGGTGCTCTGGTTTCGTGCCACAGTCCAAATATGTGCAAGTTAGGTGGATTGGCCATGCTGAATTGCCCAGAGTATGTAGGTTAAGTGGATTAACCATGAGAGTTACAGGGAAATAGTGGGGGGGTTTGTGTCAGTGTGGACTTGTTGGGTCGAATGGCCAGTTTCCACATTGTACGGATTCTATGATTAAGGCAGTCAAATCTGTAAGACTGGTACCATATGTATCTAAATTATGCATCTGAGATACGTTGGTGTAGATTTTAAAAAAAGAAACAGTGAATTTTCCTGCCTTGTTGGAGCGTGAAAGGTAGGTAAATATGGTGTGAATGAAAGAATCTGGGCTGAATATTATGCTGTTCAGCTAAGACTGAGTTGTGTTGTGTTCTTGGAGAGTTTTTTTTTGTTGCGGGGCCAAGCAGGTTCTCTTGCCATAGCTTACCAAACTCACCTCTTTAAATACTAACCCTGACCCTATGATGTCAGTCATGTCTGATTTCCAACGCATTTTACCATGCACTGTTTCCACAAAAAGCCACTATTTGGCCGATATTCACCCAAGACCCAGAATCCGTTGCACCTACTGAAAGTCCATTTTGCATTTGGATTAGCATTGGCACTGCCATATTCTGTGAAATGGGCCTGGCGGTTCTGGTCAATGCTGTGGCCCAAAGGAGAGGTGTCTCTTCCTAGATGACCGAGAGAGGAAACCATGCCACCAGACCCTGTCAGCTTGGTGTCAAGTGGCCACCTGGGTCAGTATCACCCACACAAGTCCAGAGGAATGCAGAATGAAGGTCAGTGATTCTCTCCACTCCGCTAGGGTAAATGTCACATTCTCCTCTTTACCACCTCACACTCAATCCATCTCTGTTACTGCATACACTTCCCACCAATGTTCATGCTCTGACACCCTCATTATTGCATACAGCAACTTTGTTCACTCGTTTATCCCCACATAAAACCTCCCACAGCCCTAATCCTGCAGGTCCTCTGTTCTGCCTGTTCAATCCTTCTGTACACCTCACTACCTTTACCTTTCCCCCACATATACCAGAACTAAAGTCATGCCACCCATTGTAATCCTTTCGTTGGCCCCCTTTGTTCATTACAGCCCACTACATGGCAGGAAGAGCCAAGACAGGTGCAGGGTGCCTGACCCTCTACAAGGAGGGAATCCTGACCCTTGCAGGAGTACATTAATACCATTCCTGCAGGGATGCAGAAACATCCATTTCCTGCCTTATGTGTAAATATCATTCTTCATCCCACAGCAGCTCTCACAGTAAACCTAATGTCAGTCTCAACCATTGCGCACCACTTCTAATCACCAGCTGCAACGCTCCCTTTCTCTTTTGACTGACAGGTTCTGCTAGCCTGCACTAGATCTCTGCAGGGAAATGCCCATTTCCAGCAGGGGCACCATTCTTAACCTTTGGCCTGAGGACAAGAGTATGGAGGTCTTAGAGGACACACTGGCAAGTCTGTCACCCCACTCCAGCTCTGGTGAGGGAGGGGAGGCACACATAGACATGGCGAGTGTGTGTACACCAACTGGTGAGCACCTCACAGTGACAGTTTCACAACTGGCTGAGGAAGCAATGCCCTATACTGGCAGAAATAAGGTACCTGCTCAGCATCAGGCAGGAGATGATCCTGTGGTGTTGGCAATTAGGGCTTTCATCCGAATGCACAATGCAGAGCAGCAGCACCAGACAGGCATATGGGACACAGGGCCTTCATTTCCCAGCAGCTGCGTCGATGGACTGGTTGGCGGCTGCCATTAACGCCCAGGCCTAGTTCCCTCGTGAGCAGCTGGAGAGGAGCATGCATCTGCACTCCGTCTTCCCACGTGTTGGTGTCCAAGATCAAACGCATGGGCACAGGGGTCTTGGGAATCTTAACCCCAGTCCTATTGTTCCCTCCTCACAAGGAAATAGGACAGTGCCAGAGCCACCCACTTGTGTGTGGAACCACACACAAGCTTCTTGGTAGTTTCCATTCAGGATACTGCAGGGGCAGCTGGGTCTTCCCCCTGCCTTCCCTCATTCAATCTTTGGATATTCAAGTATAGGCAGGTCAACCCACCTCTGGTATGATGTCCCTGAGCATGTCTAGCCTGTACAGACATGAACGCCACTAAACTTCCAGATAAATGTGAGACCATTACAGATGGAAATAGGAAAATATATACTGGAGAACAGGCAAATGTCAAAACAACTAAACAGCTACTTTGCATCTGTCTTCTCCCAGAAATACTCAGTGACCAAGGGATTCACATAACTGAAGAGTTAAAATGAATTGGTATTAGTAAAGTGGTAGTAGCTGAAAAATTTACTGAATTGGAGGTTTAATAAATCATCCCAGAATGTTGAATGAAATAACAATGGAGATAGTAGAATCATTGGTTGTTATCTTTCATAATTCTACAGGTTCTGGGAAGGTTCCTGATGACATAAAGTTAGCAAATGTATTCCTATATATTTAACAAGGGAGGAACAGGAGAGTGGAGATCCACACACCAGTTAGCCCGACATCCATAGTAGGAATGATGTTTGAATCAATTATAAAGATGTGAAAATTGAACATTGAGAAAAGAATTGCAAACTTGGACAGAGTTCACGTGAATTAGTGAAATGAAAATCATATTTCATAAACTTGTCAGAGTTTTTGGCAGATGGTACTTGTAACATAGAAGAGAAAAAACAATGGATGTGATGTCTTTGCCTTTTCAGAGGGTTTTGATCAGATGCCATAGTGCATAAATTAAAGTGCTTGGGATTGGGGCATGTAAGGATTGAGAATTTATTAATAGGCAGAAGCAGAGATTAGAAATAAATGGATCATTAAACAATGCACTAGAGAAGGCTCCACAAATCTCCCCATCCTCAACAATGAGGGAACCCAGCACATCAACCCAATAGTCTATAGGTGTGAGGCTGGAAAAGCATAGCAGGTCAGACAGCATTCAGGAGCAGGTAGTTCAATGTTTCAGGCTGAAACCCTGATGAAGGGCTTCAGCCCGAAACATTGACTTAGCTGCTGTTTGGATGCTGTCTGACCTGCTGTGCCTTTCCAGGCTCACACCTATAGACTCTGGCTTCCAGAATCTGCAGTCCTTATTGTCTCCACATCAATGCAATAACCTGCTCACTGGCACTCAATTTGGGTTCTGACAGGATCACTCAACTCCTGACCTCATTTCAGCCTTAGTTCAAGCATGGACAAAAGAGCTGAATTCCAGAGGTGAGCTCCTGACCTCATTACAGCCTTCGTTCAAGCATGGACCAAAGAGTGACTGACCTTGACGACAAGGAGCCCGAGTAAAACTGGAATTAATGGAAATCAGGGAAAGCTCTCAACTGGTTGGAGTTGTACCTGGCAGAAGTTAAGATGGTCCAGTTGTTGTAGGCTAGTCATCTCATCTCCTGGATATCTCTGCAGGAGTTCCTGAGGGGAGCGTCTAAGATTGAACCATGTTCAGCTCTTCATTGATAACCTTCCCTCTAACATAAGGTCAGAAGTGAGGATGTTTGCCAATTATTGCACAATGTTCGGCGTGATTCACAACTCATTAGGTACAGATGCAATCCATATATAAATGCAGCAACATCTTTCTTTTTCCAGCTTTCTTTATGCAATGTTTAATTTATGATGTGAAGGTAAGAATGCATATTTTAAATGCTAATGTAGCTGATTTCTGTGAGTCAAAAATGAAATAATACACACTGTGGGTGAGGTGTGACCACACTCAAAATGCACAAACTTTTGGGCCCATATGTAACACAGAATAAACTCCTGAACTCTATTAACCATTTCGTCCTGCTGTACTCACGTTACCAGATCATCATATGGTACTTTAGTGCCGATGACATGTTGCATATGCAATTATGTATTTGAGCAAATTAGGCAATTCTGCCATCACTTAAAAATGCGATCTATTTTATCAACAGTTGTCTTCAGCCAGCATAACTACTTTGGAGTGGAATTTTGCACAGTCAGGAAAACTCTGCAGA